GACATAGCATTACCACCTACACTTTAATTAGAAGTCTGGCTTTTATCTCATGGGATCATTTTCCTGGATGTATACCTTAACTCTGGCCTCAGCCAGGCCCATTTGTCCCAGTCCCAAAGTCCATTATGCTTGGTATTGAGCAAATTGCCATTTCCCACTGGTCTTAATAACCTCCTGGCCTTAGTCACCTGTCTTAATCCTTTTGTTGAAGCCCCTGTCATTTCTCACCCCACTCTTCTCCCGCCACCCCCAGCCCACTGGCTTTACCTGCCTTGTCTTGTATTCTATGCCTTATTAGTTTGGCCTGACAAACAAAACCTCTATGCCTGCACCATAGTCACTTGCATCTCCCACTTTACCTTAAACTCCTGAGTGCAGACATCTAGAGCAACTTGTACTTCTGGCCTCATCTCTTGGCCTCTCCATTTTAGTCAGGACCCAGAACCCCCTGCCCAGACCAAACCGACCAATCCCACTTGACCCTACCCACCGCCCACTTGACTCTACCCACCGCCCACTGCCCAGTTGCTTATACCCACCAACTTGGCTTCTCTCCCTTGGCCATGCTCTACTGTCCTTACTGGCCTCTCACTTTAGTCACCAGGTGTTAATCCTTTGGCTTATGCCCATGTGACATTTCATGCCTGGTCTTGCCCCCCTTCACCTTTGCTTATCCATTTGGCCTGCCCTATGGCACGCCACCCGCCCCCAAGACTTGCCAACCACTAAGCCTCCTGTCCCTACCATTGTGATGTTAACTGCTTTACCTTAACCTTCAAGGTTAGTCACCTACATCCAACATGGCCTTCCCTTGTGAGATTTATTCAGCACTTGGCCTTTGTATCTTGGCCTCGTCTCTTGGCTTTTCTCATGTCCAGAGACCTCTGCCCTTACTGCCCTCCCAGTGCTTCACATCCTCTCCACCCACCCCACCACCATGTCCTTGCCCAATGGTCATACCATAGTGGTATTTATGGCCCTTTGACATTTGGTTCTAATTTTTTGGTTAAGCCCACCTGCCATTTCAGGCATGATTTTGCTCCCCTTGACCTTCTCTACCTTACCTTATCCCCCAAGACTTATCCATGTGGCTTGACCCACCATATCCCCTCTGCTGAAGCCATACCCATCCTGACAAACCATCTGGCCCTGGCCCTGTGATGTCACCGGCCTTTGCCTTAACATCCTAGATGAAGTATTCACCTAGATTCAACATGGCCCTGTACACTTTGATTTATTAGATACCCAGCCTTTATCTCTTGGCCTTACTATCTTGGCTTTACTCTTGCCAGAGTCCATGCCCACATTTTATCGACCAAACCCACATGCCCTCCCTCCTAGTCCAACTGTCTTGCCCACTTCCTTGGCCTTTTCCACTTAGCTGTGCTCGGTGGCATTCATAGCTGCTGGCTGTAGTCACAAGATCTTGATCCTTAGGTTTTGTCCACATGACACCTGGCTGTTATGCCTAAATTATCTGGCTCTTGGCCACTTCCAGGCTGTCGCCGCCATCCCTTTCCTTTGCTTACCTGGTCTTGACCATATAGGTTACTCATCTTGCCTTCTCCATGTGGCCTTATACAAATGTTTCTTTGCATTGTGTCTTCAATATGATGTTAACTACCTAGACTCATTAAAATTCTAGCTTTCATCTATGTCCTCAAACCCTCTTTGTGTGCTTGGTCTAGGTCATATCCCCTAGTTGTACCCTCTTCCCAGTTCAAATGGCCAGAACTACTTGCCATTACATCTTGTCAAACCCCCATGTTGCTATATCCCTAGCTTGTACATGTGACTTTCCAACTGGTCTTAATGACACCTTACTTTTAGTCACCAGGTTTTAATACTTTTGGTTGTGTCCACATTTTGCACCTAATCTTTCTCCAATTGGCCTTGTGTAGCCTGACTTGCCTCTTGGGCCTCATCCATTTTTTTGTTTAAACTAACTTTCTACCCCTTTGCCCCTCATAACTCTATTCCCATCTATGCCATCTTGCCAGGGGCACCTGGCCCATTTAACTTTGTAGTTTTTTAAACCTTGAATCTACAAGGCTTTGTACCACTACAGTTGATAATGTCCTGGGTTTTATCACTTGGCCCTTCTGTGTTGCCTGTACCTCCTGTACAGAGCTTCTGCCCACATACAGCTGGCCAAATGCATTGCCCCTATACCTTGCACAACCAGTCCCCTTCCAGCCCTGTGTCCATCACTATTGACCTACCTATTGGCATTTTCTCCTTGGCTGTGATGATCACCTATCCTTACTGACCAGGTGCTAATTGTTTTGGTATTTCCAAGTGATGTCACCTAACAATGCCTTTGGCCTTATGCCACCCTGGCCTCAACACCCTAGAGAGATCTAGTCCCTGGCCCCAAACATACCTGGCTGATAGACCACTGTTTTTTTTGGCCTCTCCCTGTACATCTAGACCCAGGTGCCCATAGACCCTGCTCAAGCCCCCAACTCTCTATCTACCTTGTTCCTGGACTTATCCCCTTGGTCATACTGTTTATAACTTTGCGATCTTAATCCTTTTCTATACTTACTACCTTAGTGTTACGCACCTAGTTTTAGTTAGCTTGTTTGTTTGTGGTCTATACTCCTGGTCTTTACCCTTCTGTCTTTTCAACTTGGCCTTAAACTTCTGTATTTATGTACATGATTTTTCCTACCTAGACTGTCCCAGTCTGACTCTACTAGTGGCCAGATCTATTGGACAGAGTCCAGTGTCCTTACTGTCCTGCACATTCCTTTATGGCTTTGTACCCCTGTCCTTTAAGCCTTAGCCTTACCTACCAGGCTTTTCCCAACTCTCCTTACTTAGGTGGCTTTACTCCTCTGGCCATAAATACTTCTCTACTTGGTGTTAACTACCTTAGCTTTACTTAGTGGCCATTCTAGCCCTACGTTCCTAGTCATTTGCTCCTGGTTGTATACCAAACCCTAATCCCATTGGTCATGCCCTACCCTGGGTTAGACTCCCCTCCTTTAGTTCATCTCCAATGTTCTGTCCTTCTCACCAATCTGGGTTAAATTTATGCCCTTAAATACTTGGTCTTATTGACTTTGGTGTTTACCACCTAGCTTCATACAGCTTAAAGCCATGTAAATAAAGTTAAGGCCTTAACTTCCTGTCGTACACACTTGGGCCTCCTCGCTTGGCCTTATCCACTTCTGCTTACCCTTCTAGCTTGATTCTCTGGGTTATCTCTCTAACCTTGACATCCTAGCATCAATTTTCTGAGCTTACTCTCCTGAGTTTATTCACCTGGTATTATCTACCTTGCCTTCTCACCTGGCTGGGTCTTGTGCCTTGTCCTGGTGACTCGTTTGTATTGGATCTCATCCTGTCTGGAGCACCCTCATGGGTCCAAACAGTGCCAGAAATCTTTGCCTGTGTGACACCCATAGCCAGTGATTTTCAGTAGTGCAGTCCCCACCACTGTTACTTGTGCACCAAAACATTCTTTCACTTACTCTGTTTGGTCTTGGTGCCTTATTAGATGTGACACTGTTAACAGCTGCCATTTGGTATGTGTTCTTAATCCAGTTGTAATTGCCTCCCAGACTCCTAAACTCTGTAAGTCTGTATTCTATGCCACTGCTGACACCAATGTGATGGAGATTAACAGATGGCACCTGGACCTGGTCTCTCAAAGTCCAGAACTTCATGCACTGTGGAAGGGTGTGTTGGATTGCCTTTGCTCTCTGTAGTAGGTGCCTAATAGGTCAGCATTAAGTTTGCCTTCACCTACCTCCAATCAGGTCTCATGGGAGGGGCCTGTGTGAAGCTTGTAGCACATCAAGCCTGTGAAAAGGCTGAACTAGTTTGGCTGTGTGACTATCCTCCCTGCAGGTCTTTGTAGAACACACAGGATCTGATTCTGTCCATTGAAGAGCTTTGTTGTGTAGGAAATAGTTTGGAAGCAGTCCAGGGACTTGCCCTAGTGGCCTTTCTCTGAGTCAGGTCTTATGTACCTGACTTGTGTCTGCTGTTCTTTACTCTGAGCCTCTTAACCCTAATTTCTCTCTGGGGTTGCTGCTGGAGACTAAACTAGATACCACAATTCTTCCATGGAAGAACGCAGTGGAGAATACTTGAAGTTTTTGCTTCAGTGTTAATGAAGTCAGCAAATTGCACTGTTGCATCCTAGACCCTCTGTCTGAAGTGGTCTCACCTGGGTGGCCTTGGGTGTTCTCTGGTCTTCAAGTTGCCAAGTGTACCTGTAAACATGTTTTCCCAGAGCCAGATGGAAGACTTCCTCTTGTGATTCGGGACCCTGCTGGAGGGACTGACATTTTTGTTGAAAACAGGAAAAAAATAAAAGAATGAAAGGTTTCCATTGATTTCACTGGAGAAAGGTGCATGATGAAAATTCTGAAGATTTCTTTCAAAATGCTTTTGGCTACACGTCTGTACTGTGCATCTGTCACTGAACATCTAATTTGAGATTCTTCCTGCCACTAAGTATTTCTGAGTTTTAATGTTTATAGGAATTCTTTACAGATGTTTCCTTGTAGCCACTGGCATTTTGGGTACTGACAGTAATGAAAACATAAAAGCACTCCTAATGCCTGGGTGTCCTGGCTGGTGCTGGAGTTTGTATCTCATTGACCTTTTTGTGATGGTCCTTTATAGAACACTTCAATCAGGATAATTTATTAATAACTTAATATGTCTTTCAGTTTCTGCATTTTCTTTCAACATTTGTGCATGGCAGTATAGTAGAAAACAATGTAGAAATAAAGTTTTTATAGAGTAGAATCACAATCCTAGATAAGGTAGGATTTTGCTTCTAAACTCAGTAAGTTCATGTTTATCAATTTGTTGATTTTTGAAGCCCCTTGTTAACTATGATACCCCCAACATTGGTGCTTTCTTGCTCTATAAACCCTCAGGGGCGGAATTGAGGTTTGAGAGCACACACACACACACACACACACACACACACACACACGTGCGCTTTGTGCATTTGGGGGTTTGGTTTTGTTTTGCAGTGTTCAGCACTGAAGCCAGTATGACGCCCAGGTTGGCAAGTGCTCTACCACTGAGCTGTGTTACTTCCCCAGCCCTGCTTTGTTTTGACTGGTATGCTTCATATACTGTTCTTAGACCTTCAGAAAACGTAGAAGGCCACGACGACTTGTATTCCCCAGGGAATGGCCCTGAACTCTGCGTCCACAGCATGGACACTTGTGGGCCTCCCCCATGGGCTGCCAAGGGGTGAAAAGAAAAGTTAGGTGTCAACAGGACAGCAGTGTGCCTCTCCTGTAAGGGGGCTCTTCCCAGGTCTGAGCATGTCACTGATGTATTGTAGCAGTCCTGGGGGAATTGATGCTTTTGTGCTCCTTGAGGGATCCAGGGGAGGAAGTTATGGTGGGATTGAATTTGAATTCTTAACTCTTCAATGACCCTGTATTTTGCAGAATTTCTATTTTAGTTTTCTAGGTGATAAACCATGCTCATCGGTGAATTCCTGTACTTGCCCTGTTACTTCCTCAAGAAAACCCTCTGACAAAACTGCTGGATCAAAAGGATAAGCAGGTTTGAACAGACATGCTGTGCCTTGCCCACCACAAGGCTGACTATGGAGTTGTGACAGTCTGTGCAGGGAATGTTCGTGCAGTGTGTTATATAATGCTGCCAAAAGATAAACTTGTGGAAAAGCTCAATTTGCCACGAAGACACATTTGCTTGCAGAAGGCCAGGATTGGTCACTGTGAGTGCTCTAAGCTGTTACGTCCAGATGTACTTGGGGCTAGAAGTGTTGACGTGTTAGGACTTTTGGTTCTGTTTTCACATTACAAAATGTTTCATTTAGCAACAATTCTCATCAAATTAGCTTTTTAATTCAACTTTGGGGCTAATGAGTGTTCTCTTGATGGTTCCTGTAAATCTGGTGCAGTCTTTAAATGGTGTCTAGGTTCCTGTTGCTCTTGTGTTTCTACCCTGGCTGGGACCAGGGTAGCACCATGTTCAGGGATGTCCTGGTGCCCTGTGTACCACCAAGGTTGACTTGCAATGCTTTTTGCTCCCAGTTTTAGAGGCCCTAGGCCACAGCTTACCATTTTGACTTTCTTCACTCATCCATACAGAACAGATGCTTTGGGGCTCAGAAAATGATACCTTAATGTTTGGCACCTTGGCTTGCTAAGCAGTGTTGAAATAAAAAACTTTGGGAAAACCTTAGACACCACCTAAGAGCTAAGAACTTTCTAACCTATTCTTTTTTTCTCCTCAGTGCAGGGAAAGATTGTATTTCCTCTGTCTGTGAAAGGACAAAGGAGAAAATGATTGCCTTTGGTTGCCTTCTTGAGAGTTGGTTAACTGACTTCATATTGCAGGAAGGAAGACGGATTTCAGCCCACCTGTTCAGACTTTGTTATGAGGTATTTCTGTCTCCCAGCCTTACCCAGCTTCTAAAGCATAAATATATAAATGGCAGTATCTGTGGGGGGCCCATTTATCTTCCCCTAAAAATCATTTATTATACTTCAAAAGCATTTCACTCTACTCTGAACAAGGGCATTTAAGCATCTGAGTCTCCCTGAGTTATTTGGTACTCACCTTCCCCTGATAGCTTCTGCCCCCAAACAATTATCTGTGCCTTTTTTCCTGCTATGTATGTTGTCACTTCAGTTCAGGAATCCTACAGTCCCCTCTCCTTCCACTACTGAACACAACTCTTCCCAGGCATCTTTTTGTGAATGCATGTACTTTGCTCTACACTCCTGCCGCCCCCAATACCAGCCCTTGCAAACTGAACTACTTGTAAGTATAAAAACAGGCTTATGGGTGCAAGTTCGATACCAGACTGGTTTGAAAGCATGCTCCAGACTTAACTGGGTTAGGGTAGTGAAGAAAATTCATTGCTGTTCCTTTTGTAATATATTTGAGCACTTGCTGTCCTAAGGATACAGTCCTCCAAATTTGAGTTCTAGTGGGGAGAGATCTGAGACATTGTGTAGTGTGCCTTGTGGTCAGTTTCTGGGGGAAAATGAAGAGGGAGTATGGTTGTGAGGACAGCCTCTTGGATGTTACTCTGTCAAAGGATGGAGTGAATTTATGCTAAGACACAGGGGATGAAAAAAAGAAGCAACGTGATGGCTGGAGGAGTGACTCAAGTGTTAGAGCACATGGCTAGCAAGCACAAAGCCCAGAGATCAAACCCCAGTACCACCAAAAATTAAAAAATGAGCAACACGAATCTTTGTTAAGGTCACAGTAAGTGGAATTGGTACCTGATTGTAGTCATGTAACTATTTTAAGGAAACTTGCCCCCAGTAATCTGGTACATGCTTGCTGTCTCCAGTCACTCCTCACCATTGCTCCCTGATGAAATCACAAGTGACCACTGGGGAAAGAGTGCCCGCCCTCTTCTTTCCTGTATTGCTTCCTATTGTCCTCAGGCTTGTGCTGTCTGGAGGATGAGGTGGAGACTGGAAGGATGAGAGAGCTGATGGTGCTCTGGAGTAAGATCCGATGGAGGACTTCCCTGCCACAGTGGGGTGCTTTGAAAGTAAGGAGACACATTCAACATGGTTTTCATGGGGTAGACTTGGAGTGGGAGTCCAAACATAATATGACATCGGAGTGACTCCTTGAGGTGCTCAGGTAGGTTGCTATTGGGTGTTGAACCTGAGGTGGGTGTTGCAGCATGTGTGATTTGCCTGGGCATTGGTCTTTGTCAGTACTGTGTGATGTCTTTCACAGCTGAAGATTCTGTGTAAGGTTATCCACCTCCACCTATTCTAGACTGTCCACACACTTAGTGAGACTTCATTAAGGTCAAACTAATGGAAACGAATAACACATGTTGAATACTTTGTGTTCAAATGGAACTCCATTTTAAAGTGGGTCTTTTTTGTTCTGATTTAAGTTCCTCCCATCCTTCTAGAAGTTCTAATCCTCCTAGGCTCACTGAGGGGATCACATCACCTGAATCTCTACTTCAGTGGAGTAGGTTTGTTTCCACAAGAAAAGTGCCAAGAAGGTAAGAGATGTGGGATAGTGATCCACTGGTGGTGGTGACCAGGACAAAGCAGCCTGGCCTTAGAGTAGGTCCCGGTACAGCCCATGCCATCTGTTTTCTGCAGCTCTGTTCCTCAGGATGTGTCTGAAAACCAGGGGACCAAGAGCATCAATGTCAGCCGGAACTTGATATCCTACAAAAATCTCAGCCCCACTCTAGACTGTAGCAACAGAACCTGCGATCAGCCATATTCCCAGGTGGCTAAACAGCATTTGAGAAACAAGAACACACTAGAAGGCAACAGGTTTGTGGGGTTAAGGGTAGAGTGACTTGAGGTTTCTGCTTAGATCATCCTTCTTTTTATAAGATGGCTGTACCAGGCTCGCTTACGTTGCTGGATTACAAAACTTGTGGCTGTTGTAGAAGCAAGTATTTGTGAAGTATCTCTTGTGTGGAATGCAGTGTGACCTGCGGGAAGTGGGTTGACTTTTCATGATGGAGGCAGTTTTGCGAATACAGGATAAAGCTGCAGTGTTTAGCCTGCTTTCTTAACTCTGAAAGTCAGAGTAGTGATCATTGAAACCTCTCTCCTTCCTTTACCCAACAAGTGTGGAGACTGTGGGTTGAAATGGTGACTCAACACAGGTATCATACACGTGACAGAAGTTAACAAATGAGAATTAGCTGTGTCACAATTTCTCTTGAGTTATACTTCATCAGAATTCACACCAAACCACATTAGATGTTGCAAACTGGTAGTATTTCCCCTTCTTCATAAATAAATTACACTCAAAATCATCAATAGTGTATATTAGGAAAAAAGGTTTTAATTTCTAAGAAGGAAAATGTGCTTCTTCCCTTCTACAGCAAGCGATAGCAGTGTTCTTTATTTAGTGGTCTGGACTTAAATATGAAAAGTTATATTTTGGTGGGCATGGGTAAGGCAAAAATGATCAGTGTTACGCAGACTGTTTACTTTTGGGAGACACTTGACCCTAGTGCTCGACTTTACGTTTCCCACAACTTGATTTTTTACTCAACTTTCCTGTCACTTTTTCCAATTAACCGTATTGACCTTTCACAGGTGACTAGCTTCAAGATGACCAGACTGATCCGTTTCTGAACAGCAGGACAGGTGGTGACTGCCGGTACCCAAACCTTGAGAAAGTTTTTATTCGCCCTTCCATCTGGTGGACATGGGTTTACTTTGCTGTGCAAATTTAATATGAATTCTGTAATTTTTCTCTTGTTTTTTTTAGGGATAAGTTTTCCTTATGTTGCCCCAGCTGGCCTTGGACCTCTGGACTGAGGTCGTTCTCCCATCTGAAACTCAAGGGGGTGTTTGACCACAGTTTTGTACCACCACACCTGGCTTCTGCAATACTTAATCATCCAAGCATCCTTGGAATCTTATTTCAATTTGTTTCCATCTGAGTTTCAATTTGTTTTTCAATTTCTGAGCAGAGGTAAGTAGAAAATACAAGGGAAAGCCAGTTTATTGATTTATTTTCCTGAAGGCAACAGTTGGTGAAGAAAGTGATGAGATCTGTAATGAAAGAACAAAACGGGTTTACACTCAAGGTTTGTAAAACTCAATTATTTCTTCTCCCTCTGATGTCCATGCAGTGCTCATGCTGGGGAGGGGGACAGATAGGGGGAGGAGAGAACTGGCCTGTCTTCCTGGAGACATGTTCGGTTTAGCCTGCTCTCCCAGGCTATCCTTGCTCATTTATCTTTTCCTTGCTTTCCAGCCCATTTTTCTAACTGATTACATTCCTCCCCATCATTCAGAGTGGACAATGTGGTGTGGGATGAAGCCATCAGGGCAGGTGATGAGTATGGATCAAGTGAATGAAACTGTGAATGTCCACTCAACCATTTGCTGTCCTACACTGGCATGGGCAGCCTCTGGACCAAAATACTAGAGGCGAGTCTCATTCCTTCCAGATTCACTGGCATAGCCCAGTGGAATTTCATGCCTGAAGTTGTGAAAATACAGAGATTGAAAAGCAGTGCTCTAGGAATCTGGGAATAGAGTCCAGGCAGAATTTATAAGTTGTAAGTTTAAAACCCCAGACTCAAATTAATCTGAGGCAAGCCCTGGAGGGTCTGGCAATGGCTTCCTTCCCGTGCTTGCCTCACGGGTTTACCTTTTGTCAAGATACCTGTTCTTGACAGGTTTGGTGGTGCATATCTGTAATCCCAGTACATGGAGCTTATGTCAGGAGGATTTTGAGTTCTAGATCAGCCTGGGTACATAGAGAGATTCTATACCAAAAAAAGTGAAAGAAAAAAGTTTTCTTTCAGTATTATAACCTGGAGCTATATATGTCTTAAAAGCAGCTAGATAGTCTCCACCTGGTGAAATGAGACACTATTTTGTAGAACAGGGACCTATGATTTTACTGTATCTCACTTACAAAATGTTAAATATTTTTATATGGACATTGAAATGGGTGAAAATCTGCATAGATGCACAGTTGATAGTTGAGTGATATAAGGAAAAATTTTCACTTCATACAATTATTTGGGTTTTTGAAAATGAGCTCCAGCAGCATGTGGCTAAATACAAAATAAAAAAATTACAAAGGCTGATCAGAAAGATTAAGGGTTTCTAGTGTCTTTGGAGTTGACAATGTGGCATTTTTAAACCACCACATTAATAAAGACTTACTTCTGGGGAGGGGGGAAGATAATGACAATTCATCTTTCAGATATGACACTCCACTCATACTCAGATACAGAATAACACTGCTGCTTTTTGTAATATGGTCGTGAGCATTTTTGCACTGTAAATGGCTATACATGATTGAACTGTTGAGGAACCAATGAACTCCACCTCTGCTTTCATAGATGGATCAAAGGCAGCCAGGGAGAGGGGAGAAGAGTTGCCATGGCTAACCTGGAGCTGGGGATTAGTGACACTGACAGAACCCAGGAGAGTACAGAAGATCTTCTGTAAGTTCAGGATGCTGAAAAAAAAAATGGTAAGAAAGGAGCAGGATCCAGCCCAGTATTTGTAGAACTGCTTGATAAGATGTCATCTCTATTGAAGTGCGATGAATGCTGCAAGGTGAGTAGGAGATCGCTGTTGTCATTTACTTGAAATCATGCTGTGTCTTCAGGAAGAGCAAAAGTCTACTACCAGGGCTTCACTTAAGCAGCCATAAGCTTGGCTCAGAGAATTCTGAGAATGCAGCAGTGAGCACCTAGGCTGCCACCATCCTAAGAAGAATTTGTGCCTTGGAGTCAGGAAAGGGTGGCATCCAGTTCAAGTGATAGCTAGCCTTGTGGATATAAGCAAACTCTTACCTTCCCCCACCCTAGTCCAACACTTGTGGTGACAATGTTAAGGCATAGTTAGAAAAGGTCACTGTGGTGCTTGAGACTTGACTGGTAGCATGGGTCTTTTGGGCCATCCATGGGGTGTGTGAGTTGGGGTGAGGTGAGGACAACAGTGACTGGCACCAGTGAATTTCAAGTACCACAAAGAGGAAAAGAGAAAGCAGAGCTCAGAGGGCTGGAGGGGGAGTGGTTTCAGGTTCTTTTTTTGTGGTTGGACTTAGTTCATTGTTATAATTGTTATTTGCCCTTAAGCCAATTGGAAACTTTTACTATATGTTATCACAACAGTTGACAATGTTAGCATTTCTTAGAATCCATAGTGAGTCACGGAGGTTTTTATCTGGAATTCTACTGAAATTTAGCTACTTATTCATTAAAGTATGTGAAAGTACATAAATGCCCCAGAAGGCTGTATCAAATTCTGTTTCCTATTATCTGTGGGTGCTTTTCAGGTTTAGTGGAGGAGCTTTCTGGATGTCTTGGGCCACTTTTTCAGGAGGGCTACTGAAGTCTCCTCTACTCTAGTCTTTGGATGAAGAAGTGTCAAGCCATCAGGGGCCTAATTATCTTTCATGCTGAGTTCCTGTGTTTGCTCCCCACTGCCACCCGGGTTCAATTTGTCTGCATTCAAATTTTGCGTACTTTCTGAAATTAACAGGCCACAAACCCCATTTCTTTACTTTCATCATGGGTCTTTTCATTTTAGTAGGAGGAATGCTACTTATTCAAAATACTTATCTCCGGTTCTGCTAAAGCTGTCTTTTGAAGATTTGCTCCAGAAAATAATGGACTTTATGACTAGGTTGAAAAATTGCTTTTGCTAAATAACTGTCTCTATCCCAACATCATGTGTGTGGTGACACTTTTGTTATGTTTAAACTTAAGAAATCATAAACAAGGATGCAAGGAAGAAAAATAAATGCGTGTGGTTTGACCGTGCCCCTGTGTCCTGTTTGTATTATTTGCTACAAGGCATATTCAAAGTGCCTCATTTCTTGTTTTGATCCCAGCTGTCTGGTGCTTGGACTGAGGCTGAGTGTCAATCAGGATAAACTTGTTCAGCCAGGTATACACACTGATCCGGACATCCTGCAAGACCCCCTGGCCCTTTCACAACAAGTGATTAGAATGTCCTCTCCTTTGGTGATGAGGAAGTCCACTTTGTGTTATTCTGTATCTTTATAATGAAAGGCTTATTTAGGGACCAGTCCTGGAGAGTCAGGGCATGTCACCGACATCACCTTGGCCCTTGTAGACAGCTCATGGCAGATACAGCATGGACTGTATATCAGAGAAAGATCCCACAGAAAGCCAAAGAGTAATTGAGGGGGGTGGGCTCACAGTCCTAAGAACTCACTCTTGAAATAATGCAAGATTCCAAGAGAACTCCCCTAATCCTTCTGGAGGTAATCACCTAAGCACACCCCACTACGCTCTGCCTCTTAACTTCTCCATACTGGTCACCAAGCTCTGACATAGATCTCTTAGAGGAGTAAACACACCCAAACCATAGCAGAAAGAGTTTGTTTGTTTAAAGCTAGGTGCATTCATGTTAGTTGAACTTGGAGCCTTGAACTTGCCAGCAGTGCTGTGCCACTTGTGCCTCACTGCCCATCCTTTGTTTGAGGTGTTTCACATAGAGTTTCCCTTTATGTTAGGGCTGGCCCATACCTCCATCCTCCTGTCTGATCCTCCTGTTTACAGTTTTCTTGTAGCTCAGATGACAGGCATGTCCCATTATACCCCACTGCGAGATGGAAACTCAGACTTTCTGCCTGGCCTTACCTTGGACCACCATGCTCCTGGTGCTGCCTTCTGAGTAGCTAGGATTATAGGTGTGAGCCCCCTCTCCCAGTCCTGTGCTGCTTTCTTGACCTGGTATCTTTCTACACATCTTGAGGGCCCATTTGGCCACTGTTGTATTTATGCAAAGTTTCCTCCCTTGTTCCACATGTGGAAGCTTGTTTAGGAGTATGATCTGTTCTCTCGCAAATGTGGCTTTGAGCGGGGCCAAGCCTACTGCTCACTTCCTGGAAGTCATTTGGGTGAAGGATCACAGTGCTCACTGAAGACCTCCATCCCAGATGGGAGGCCAGGGATTTACTGCTCGTATTGGAGGTTTTAATGACAGGAGCCCGTGGCCTCCCTCCCACATACCATGATTTGAAAAGTTCTGACAATAACTCTAGCTACAATTGCAAAAATAGAACTGCTGGGGCTGAGTTCCAAGGTTCCTCTTTTCAGATGGAACCTGGAACCCTCAGGGTATTGACACCTAACTTGTTCCAGTCTGTATCCAGATTAGTATTACGCTTATTAGTCAGCCAGTTTCATTCTGCACTCCCCTTTTGCTGTTCTAACAACTGGCTGGAGTCACATTTTCAGAAAGAATGCTTTACGCTCTCAGTGCTTTCAAGCTAACACTGCATGGGAAGGCAGGTGCAGGAGACTCATGAGTTCAAGGCTAAACTGTGGGCTCCTTTTAGTTTTTTTTCTCCAACAGCTGTAGGATAGGGGTTGGATTAGCTCAGTGAGTATAAAGCTTTTCTTACCTGCATTGGTAAGGGACTCAAAAGTGTAGCTGCTCTGGGGAGTTTTGAGGGTCACTGAGGAGCCTGGTCTGTTCTCCTGGGCAGCCTGGAAGAGAGCAGATGGGATGAATGGGCCTCTTGAGGCTGTCCAGGAGTGTGTCTGTAAGACATCTGTCACATGGTCGAAAGCTAACCACTTTCTAACTCTCCAAGTGGTATGTGGTGTTGGCCTTTTGGTTTTGAAGGATAGTGACCACATAATCATAAACCACTTTATTTTAGGTGAAGAGGCTCGGGTGGGCACGGAGGGGCACAGCTGTAATCCCAACTACTTGGGAGGTACAGCAGGAGAATTGGGATTTCAAGTGCAGTCTGGGCAAAGCTGCGGGTCCTGGGTTCCAACCCCACTATTGCTAAGTAAATAAATAAGGGCGAATTTTGGATCTGCTCCCTCTCCCCATTACAAATGTGTCTTAAGTATTGTGGTTTCTAATTTTTTACTTTTTAATTTTGTAATTGGAAATAACTCCCAAAGAGTGAGGACATCTGGGTTTAATCCTGGTTTAGAGCCTTAGCTTGTTGGGTTACTTACAGAAGCACATCAGTCCTGCGTGCTGGACTGTTGAGCTTTGCTATTACTCAGACCCTGCTCTGCCCTTTCTCCTTCTGGCTACCTG